ACAAAACGAGCGTTACCACCTGTGCGAAAATTGCAGTTTAAGTAAATTCATAAGATATAGTAAATATTGCAATATGGCAGCCAAAGAAAGAATTTGAAAAAGGCTTACAGACGAAAATAGTTTTTATTGGAAGGTTGCCACCTGTTTGAAAATTTTAATTTAATTGATGAGACAAACTAAATATTGGAACTTGGGTATGAAACTAAAGATGTTTGGGAAAGTTTGTAGCCGAAATAATTTTTAAAAAATTGTATTCAATAAATAAATTTAATATTAAAATAATTAAACTAAAGAGGTTTAAGAACGTTTGATATTTGAAAAATTTAGTTCGGGAAAGAAAAGGCAGATGTTGATTAGTACATCTTTGAAGAAAGTGCGCGATATATAGACTCTAAATATAAGATTATAAATTAAATTCCCAGAAGAAAGTCGATACTTTACCTACTTTCTAAATATCTTCAACTGCAACCACATTCATAAAAAAATAAAGAATAAATAAAGAATGCTACATAAATCGAAAATTTTTTTGAAAATCTTACTTCATAAAAGCACGTTTCCACGCCGCCCAAATTGAGCAATTTTGACACTGTTCTCAATTCAGCTGAAATTTTTGAAAATAATCTCCAAATGCTTCGAAAATGTTCCAAAACATACGTCAAGATATAAGGAAAACTTCGAAAGGTCTTGAAAATATTTAGAAGTATTAAATAAATTAAATGAATGCGAATCCTTTCATTTTTCTTCATTGTCTAAAAATAAAAAGCAAAACTTACAAGCTAGTTCCTGCTCAATATACATTTCCGCTTAAGCAGAATTTCAAAGGGTTTCCAAATAATATTTTAACGATTAAGTAGCCATAGATGCCCTTTTAATAGAAGCTTAATAAAAATATTAAATTTCCCAAGGGAAACTTATGATTTTTGTAATCTAAAATCAAGCCTTTTAAATCACTTAAAATGTTTAATAAAATGCCACAGATATGTAAATATTCTAGGAATATTTTCAACCAATTTTAGCCTTTTCTAATGTGATCCCCTCTAATGGCACTTTCGTAAAATCGGTAATACAATTTTTTCACTACCTTTTCTACTTTCAAAATCTAAAGAACTTCTAACTAAAGCCTCTACCAATAATACTGTGATTAAAAATGCGAGTTATCTCTTTGGGTTTCTTGTATTTGAGATTTGAGTTAAATATTTCCTTGCATGCCCTTGGAAGAATTTGTTTACGCGTAATTCTAAAAATATGCTATTTCTCTATATAAGTATATCAATACATACTTACTACATTCCATAACCGATTAGCATACGCATAATAATGCATACATGAATACATATGTACGTATATTAAAAATCAGGTGCAGCTTTGTGGCAATGCAAGTAAGTGCAAACCCAAAGCGGCAATGGCAAAGCAAGAGAAAGGAAGTAAGGTGAATACATACGTACATATCGCTGGAAACCACAAAGCACGCAAGAGAACGTCAGCATCGATAGCATCGCTAAATTTTGCAAGAATGCTAACACATATGTAAATCAGGCGTGGGATACCAATTTACTGTAATTAACGCATGCGTATGTGCAATGGTAAAATCTCTACCTTTTTGAGACACAACTTAGGTTTTTCTTGAGATCGAGTTGTTGTATTTCCAAATACGAAGAAGAAGAGTGAATATTTATACCCCACATCTGCACCTTCAAATAAATGTGTCTTAACATCTGTCAAATTTCTGTTTTAACTTTGTCCCGTTTTCTTATTTGGGCAACTTGTTGGCTTAACATTTCATTTCCTAAATAGTATCAAGATAATCAGGTGGATCTGAACCCAAATTAAGTGACGGGGTAAAATGAAAAATTGAGTTGTCAAACTGCGAAATGACAGTTGATGTTAAGATAGTGATGGTAAGAAATATGCCATGAAAGATATGTATCAACAGTGGGTATTTGCGATCTCCGCCTCATATTTCTGTGCTAAGTTTTTTTAAGATAAATGCACAGTGCACAGTTTTTTTAAGATAAATATGTAGCAGGTGTACACACATGGGGGGATAGGTTAAATGAAAAATTGCAAACACTGAGAAAACCATCAACCAAAAATTGCTTAATGTTAACAATCCAAAACTTAAAAGAGAATCAAAGTGAGTTTTTTTCATTTTAACAATGCCATTGTTGCTACCGATTTTCAAAAAAGATTTCGGTGATATTAACCATGATATTTGATGATGTTACAAACATATTGGTTGAAATGTTTAACTCTCGCTCACTATCTTCCCATCCCTGGTATATACACTCTGTACATACATATATATGAATGTACATTAGACTGCATCACTCCCCATACAAAAAAAAAATCGGTACTATTTTTCCATTGGAATTATAAAATCTATTATATTTTAAGACGTACACCAAAATTTTTCGAAAAAATAATAAGATTTAAGTGAGCTGGACCAATTTCAAAATACCTCCAAAAATGGAGTTTTTTATGAATAAAAATAGTTTCTTAAAATTAGTTTTTGAAAAAATCCCCTCAAAGAACAAAACGGTTTAAGCTCAAAAAATTTGCATAAAAGTATTAAAAAAAAAATTTCAACGGAATCGTAAGATGCGATTTTTTATGCTGTTTTTTTAACTTTTTTCAAAGATTGGTATAAGAAAAACTTGAATAACTGAGCCTAAACTCTTCTGATTTAGACTTAAGAGGTGTCGGTGGAAAGGTATTTCTCACCCTTTTTATTTCTTTGTTAATAAACTCATTCAAAGGATGAAAGAGAAAGGTAGGATGAACGAACGTCATTCAAAGTTGAATTAAGATGTGTTGGTATTTGAAAAAAAAAATTGGGACACGAATGATTTTTTTTTTTACAGAAATAAAAACAGTGTGAATATACCTTTCTACTGAGATCCCATAAGTCTAAATCAGAATAGTTTTGGCCCAGTTATTCAAGTTTTTCGTAAATCAATCTTTGAAAAAAGTAAAAAAACAGCATCAAAAATCTCATTCATGCGATTCCGTTTAAAAGATTTTTAAATATTTTTATGCAGATTTTTTAAGCTTAATCTGTTTTGTCACTATTTTACTACTACTACAACAACTACTACAACTATTTTTATTCATAAAAAACTACATTTTTGAAGGTATTTTCAAATCGCTCCAGCTCACTTAAATCTTAATATTTTTCCAAAATATTTTGGTGGACGTCTTAAAATATAATAAATTTTGTAATCCCGGCGGAAAAACCGCAACTTTTTTTGGTGATGCAGTCTAATGTACATATACAGTATCGGTCATATCTATAGCACGCCATTTCAAAGTGATATTGTGTGCCACTTATGTTTATTTATTTATTTTTAAGAATTTTCAATTAAAATTTAGTTCATTCTCAGACAAAGCCCATATATACCCAAGTTTAACAATTTGTAGAAAACTTCAAAAAAGTGCAACAAAATTTCACCTAAATTTCAAACTTTTTTCTCGGAAGTGTTAGATTTTTTTTGAGTACACAGTTTTTTAGCCCCTGCAATTTTAGTCTGATAATGTGCAAATTTCAAGTGGGTACGAATTACGAATTTTTTAGAATTTTTTTTGTCGCATTAGCTTCCATATAATGAACAAACTCAATTTATTTGTATATGGAAGAAAACCGCAACACCTTTGGCGAAAAAAATTCTAAAAAATCAACGGCAACCTTTAGCCACTTGAAACTTGCACATTATCAGACTAAAATTGATTGGGCTATAAAACTGTGTATTCAGAAAAATTCTAATACTTCCGAGAAAAAAGTTTGAAATTTTAAATGAAAATTTGTTGCACTTTTTTGTAGTATTCTACAAATTGTTAAACTTGGGTTTATATGGGTTTTGTTAGAGAAAGAACTATATTTTAATTGAAAATTCTTAAAAATAAATAAATAAACATAAGTGGCACACAATATCACTTTGAAATGGCGTGCTAAAGACATGACCGATACTGTATATGGCAACTCGGCTCCAGCAGTTAAACTTCGACAAGCCCATATGTTGCTGAAAATTTTTTGTTTGTTCGTAAATTTTGTGTTTCTTATCAACGTATAGAAAAAGGTAACTATAAGAAAAAATAAAAAAGAATTTGGCTGAAAAACATGTTGCTTCCGACTCAGTTTAACATGACCCTAGGATTGTTCTATACCGGAAAAAATATACCCCACTTTTTTATTTTAAATAAAAAATATTTAGAGGTCGCTCAAAGTTTTCCATGTATTTTATATGTGGAAAACAACTTACCCTGCAAACATATTCTAAGAGTTCAGAATATATGAGTCAGAAAGGAGTCCTAGGTAGGTAAGAAATATGAGTTTCAAAAACAAAACAATTGTTTACTCTTATACGAATCTTTTAGGAAATTGAAAATAATTAGAAAACAAAAAATGAACAAAATTTCGCTGCAGCTGCTGCTATTAAATGTATGTTGGAATGTGTATATATGTGTATATAAACAGAGTTTCCCGAAAAAATACAAAAATAGGGGTATATTTTTTTAGGTAAAGAAGTAAGCGTCAGAAATATAAATACCCTGACTTTTTGACGATTTTATTTATTTATATTTTCAAACCAAATTTTTCTTATTTATTATTAAAATATAGTTTATTTGACAGCAGAAACCACAAGAATACATTTGTTAATATTTGCAAACAAATTTTCAAAAATCAACGGCAATCTTTAGCGACTTCAAACTTCATGATTAAAATTTTTAACGAAATTGAATTGAAAAATTGTAAATTTCTTACATTTTTCCAAGTTTTGTATGATAAAAAAAAATATTTCTGAGGTTTATTGCTGTTGAATGAACTATATTTTTATAAAAAAAATCGAAAAATTTGGTGTGAAAAATATAAAAAAATAAAATCGTTAAAACGTCAGTATACTTTGACGCTCACTGTTTAATGTATAGCTATAACTTAACCTAACCTATGCCCAATATATATTGTTGTAGCTAAATATTAATTAATTAAACCATTGCTAAAATACCTCTTAAAAAGTGACGCGAGTATTTTGGTTTGCAAGTGTGAATATTCGGAGATTATCACAACATTAGGTACTCCAAGGATTCGACTTACCTAAAAAGAGACAAAGAGATAAGAAAAATACTTGTTAATTATTACGTTTCAGTATTTTTTACTACCGCTAAATTATATATATTTATTCATGTATTAGCTAATATTGTCAGAGTAACTATTCTGAAGGACAGATAAAAAATATTTGAAAATTTGTTGTCCGATTTCAACAATCAACTCTAAATTTATCAGCCTGTTAATGCTTAAAATGACAAAATTTTAAAATTGATTGGTGGAACTTGGGATGTTTGAACCAAATAAAATTCATAATTTTAGAATGATGTTAATTGAATTACTTGTTTTCTGGTAATATCCGTTATAAGATCCTAAAGGCAACGGATTTGCAAACACGAGCTATTATTCATACGATTTGCCTTCTTGACTTTATTATTCTTGTAGGCCGAAGAGTATTGATGAAAATGGAAAATGAACTGTGCGAGCTTTAAAATGGCATGGATATAGTGAAAGGCCTGCAAGGACATTACCGCCGACCTATGTATGCAAAATTTCTTTAGAGTTGTCTCAAATTTTACATAGTGCACTTTATGTTTACATCACTTCGTATGACTACTGCCTTGTTCTATGACGTCACTTTCTGGTGGATATCACTGGATAAGTCGCTCACTATTATGAAAACAAAAACGTCACAGAGCGCTGCCCTCCGCGCCTGCTAAAGCCTTAGACACCTCCTTAAATTTTGGCTAGTGGACTGTGGTGGGAAATTTCAGACAAGCTGTAAGGCTAAAAGACCAAATGCATTGCTAAAATGGAAATATATTAGATTCAGTACCTCTCAATATTGAAAAAAAAAAATTCTCCACACGTATATCATCAAGATAATTGTAACAATAATGGCTTAAAACCAAATCTACCGTAGGAAGCAGGATACCCTCGAAATTTGTTTTAGGCTGTCAGGTCACTGTAGCGTTTTGATAGCGTAATTTGACTTAGCGAGCCTTCTCTTAAAGCGTAAACAGACGGCAGCGTTGATCCGGATCAACTCGGGAATTAACTGCAGTTGATCCGGATTAAATCCGAGTTAATCCGGATCAACGCTGTCGTCTGTTTAAGCTTTTAAAGCATGAAAAGACGGCAGCGTTAATTCTCGAGTTGATCCGTCTGTTTAATCTTTTAGCCCGCCTTAAGTAAATAGCTACTCTGCTAACCAAGCATCTAACAGTGAGTGGTCCAAAAATGCATGTGGAAACAGTAAAGGCGAAATTTTAATGCTCTCATTGCCTACGACTATTTTAAAAAGAAAAAAATATACCCCTGTTGTTTTTATTTGGAAATCAAAAAATATTTAGAGGTCGCTCAAAGCACTCAAATTGTATATAATTCTTGAAAACCGAAACCCACTTGTAGGACGACCCGACGATCTAGCCCAGCTTCGACATGAAAATACTCGACTAACTTGGATGTCTTCTACTTAGGCACCTTGGATATCTTCTACTTTGGTGAGTAACCGGAATTAAAACCGGCACTGCTTACTCGGAAGGCATGCTGCTGTGATGGGCTGCTGGCCAATGACAACTGCCGCAACTGCCGTGATGAGGAAAAATATGCTCATTTCACCATTACTGTATCTGAAAGTAGATCTTTTCCCTAAGTTTATTCCGTGGCTGAATTTTTTATGAAGTTTTCAAAAAATCACAGCTAAGGAAACTAACAGAAGCGCTGAATGGAACCAGAGCATTGTTCTCATTACATTTTTCCAGTTATGTTATGACATATCGCTAGCTTAGAGTGAAAAGTTGTTAAGTCCACTCTTTATGAAAACTTATATTTTGATATAGGAGGCTAGAGAAATTTAAAATGCATCGTTTCTAAAAGGATAAAGGTCCTTGTTTTATGTTTTCTCGGTTATATCCAATGCTAAGCGTAAAAAAGCCCCGAAAATACGATAAGGTTGAAATAGTACGAACATTTGAAAAATTACCCCTACCTCTTGTTGGGTAAAAATTTCATTGGTGTATCGAACCAGTATCTCACTAGAACAAAATATGTATTCATTTTTACCATTGGAGTATATCGATACCTGAGCGAAAGATCGACCTATCTCGGCAACCAGTTCGAAAACGCTCTATTTCAGAAAAGTTTTCAGGAACGCTCTATTTCAGAATTTATTAAAACAAAACATACCTAAGAATTTGGTTGAAGAACGCCCTATCTCAGCGGCCGACTCAAAAACGCCCTACCTCAGCACATTTTCAATGTATTTTCAGCTAAGATAGGGCGTTTTTGAACCGAATTCTGATATAAGGCGTTCTTAAACCCAATTCTGAGACAGTGTGTTTTTCAATAAAATTCTTAAGTAGGGCGTACTCGAAAAGTTTTCTGAGATAGGGCGTTTCTAACTGGCTGCCGAGATAGGTTGATGTTCCACTCAAGTGACGATATGTAAATTCAAAACTTTAAAGCGGCTTTTCTCGAGTTTCGCTTTTTTGAGTTACGACACTATTGAAATAAATGAGCGATATAAATATGTATGGATTTGTGACCTCACATGCAAATTGAATTTATATTACCACGTTGCGTGAATTTCAGAGCTAAAAAAGTGCTACCTTCGAGATTTTTATTTCAATTTGCATTTTTGCTGCAATTGATGTTGTAAAACGTTATTGCTGTTTATTGCGTGCAATAAATTACAGTAGCGCAATTGCAACAATGCAAAAGCAAGGCAAAGCGTACAAACGATTGCAACAGCCAACAACTATGCGAGTGTAAAATAGTTAATAAGCGACAATCTTCACAATGCATACATCCATACATCCATATATACATACGGGAATGTTATAGTTCTGCTTTGTTGTTGTTGACATAACAGTTTAGTATGTTTTTGCACAATTTTCAGTTTAATTTTTGCAAGCAAACTACAAACAAAATGAAAAAAACAGAAATGCTAATATTTTATAGCCACAATTGTAAAACGATAGCCTCCGATCGGCAGCAATATTACCATTAACCAACTCCTCCTAGCAACCTGAGCAAATTTACAATCATTTGCTTTTATCGCCACGTTGACCTTACAACCTGCAACCTGTACTCGTAGTAAGCGGTAAGCAAGCGTGCGCTCGTTTTATTTCGCACCTCGCCAGCGAGCGATCGTAATCGCACGCAGTTTATCAATGGCGCACAATGGCGAATGCGATAACGCGATTACGATCTCTAAATAATCGCACGCGCACGATCGCGCAACATTTGCACTGGGAATTGGGTTGTTCTTGTGGCACAAAGCGATTTGCCGAAAGTTTCCTGCTTGTCGCGCAGCGATTTGTGGTCATGCAAAATGCAAAATGCAAAAATGCGTCTTTACACAAATGTATGGTGCATAGTTAAGCCAGTTGTTGTCTTTGGATTTTTTTGTTTTGGTTTGTTGGCTAACGCACAAATTGAATTTTTATTATTATCTGCATGCAACAATTGCATGTAATTTACTTTACGATCAGCGGCAACAGGCAGTATGCTGCAACAATGCGCCAGCTAGCTTGAAAATCGGGTAGTAAGTTGTTACGGCAGCAACGGTAACGACAGCAGTTATGGGAGCAATTGCAACTGTTTCAGTTTATTGATATGTATTGAATACTTAAGTGTTTTAATAATGGGGTTACACTGGGTAAGTTTGGGTGAAATTGTGCTCGGATTTAGTTTCGTTCGACGTTTCGATTGTAGAGACCATACAATAGGATTCTTATAGCTCAGGTATGCATACTTGGCATTGCATGAGAGTTGTTGCATAAGAAATTTATTAAATGAGCTTTGCGTGTAAGTGGTTACCAAACGCACAGCATTACATACATATGTAAAGTCTGATGGGGTTTGATTTCTACGTAAAAAGGGCATAGCAATGCAAAGTATGCATAACTGAGATATTATACTTTTCATTCGAAAACTTGTAATTCTCATCTGTGTTATGTCGGATTAATAATAACAATGTGCAATTAAAATCATAGCATTAGAAAGCTTTGCACCCTATGTAATTTCTGAGTTCACAGGGCAAGTGCTAATGAAGATCGTGGGAAATTTCTGACAAAATTTTGTTTGGCGCCCAGCATTATGTTAACAACAGTCAGACATTCTGAACAAATGCATTTACAAAAATAGTATATCGTCACCTGAAATGCAATAAGACGTAACAACATCGTAACTGAAATGGTAAAAGTCGTGACTAATATTTTTTAGTTTTTTTCATAAAATTATGCGAGAGTTGTAATTCGATGAAATCCATCATATCCATGAAAAACTGAATTTTGAAGTTTTTATTAGTTACGTCTTTTTGTATTTCAGCGACGATGTTTGTCACGTCCTTTTGCATTTCAGGTTACGATATGTATGAAAATGAAAAATAGGTATTTGTACTTTCTCTAATTTTTTCATTTATTGATATCCAGTGAATTAAAAAAAATCGAAATTAACAGCAAAATTGATGCCAATAAATATAGAAATACCATTATTAAGAAAAAAATATATTTTGATAATTAATTTATCGATATGTATGTATATCGATATTCGTTATCGATTAATACTGTCATTCTCCAATCGCTACCGAAAGGCATTGGAGAAAACCCACCAATAAATTTGTCTTCCTTGAAATTTTTCATCTACATAGGAAGATATTTTCCAAACTTCGCACACTGTTCGATACGCTCGCATTGCGCACAACCGCATTGCAAGTGTTTTGACCTGCAAATAAATTCAAAGTAAACAAGGCATTTGTGGTTCAGAGCAGCAGCAGCAGTACAAAGCTGTAAGCTCAGAGCGCATAAGCAAAAAGGAGGGTAAAATGCTCGTAAACGCATGCGCGCCATGCAACATGTGGCGCTGAAGACGTACATACATATGTATGCACGTATGTACATATGTAGCCATGCATCAGCTTACAGTACGGCTATGTATGCTGCAACACGCTGTGCGTGCTGCGATAAATCAAAGTTTTATTTGTTTAAATAAATTTGGCCATTTGCGATGGCTTCATCAACAGGTGCACACTCAGTAACAC